CCGGCGAGTGCCACCCCCCGTAGCCGAACGCTTAAGGCCACGAGGAGTGACACCTACCCCCTGTACTATTTCCTCGTGAGGAACCCGCCCGCGCAGCGGAACGCTTAACGCCACGCGGGCGGGCCCCCACCCCTGTATCATATATATTCCTCGCGCGTAGAACAGAATCTCCCGTTGCCAGTTGTACCGGATACCCGATCCTACCTCTGCTGTTTTATAACTCTCCATTTGTGACTCTTGGATTAGCCATCCGCCCGTCCCATGACGGCACGAATAGACCATCCTTAAGCCACATTCCCCTATCAGGGACGCCCAGTGTGCAATGGGCGGTAGTTCATGAAGAACGACCGCCCACTGGAGCAAGCCTGATAGTTGATTCTTGGGTGCAATGGGGTACATACCCCTCCACGAATCCCCTTATCCCCTTAATGGCATGGGCTCAATGGCATGCCAGAGCCCGCCTGCAGTAATATACTGCGTCGCCTCTCTGGACCCAAAAGCCCGCGGGGTAACCACCCCACCCACAGGGGGAGGGAAGGGCCCCACGCGGTCCCAAGGTCCTTCTTCGTTGGTGGACGCCCACCACTCCACCCTCGGGTAGGGAGTAGTCCTCCCCCTATCGGAGCCGAGTCTCCGGGATTTGTAGTCGGAGTTACTTTCTCCTACCGACGCAGTGAGGTGCCGCCCCTTAAGGAACGAGGGGTCCTTGGGGCGTCGGACCCGAGTGTACAGGGCCCCTCTATTTAACGAGGTGCCCCGTACTATGTTAGCACCCTGGGACCCCCTAAGGAGGGCCCAGGATGAGCCCCCGTGCCACGTCAACGCCTCCCACACACGGGGGACCCGTCCGGAACCTTTTTTTTTTTTTGACGCTGAGAAATGCGTTACGCATATCGCTCATTTCGGTGGGAAATGAGCGGTTATGTTGGACTCTCCCCCTGCAGTTACTTACCACAGGGGGCCTACCAACTAAAACTCAGCGGGCGTACCTAACCGCGCGCGTTATAGGACCTAACCAGGAACTCCGCATCTGCAATACTTCTGGTTAGGCCCTCGCTTGTCGCTTACGCGACCCTACCACTTTCACACTGGGGGCGCGAAGTGACGCCGGCACCTCGCGTCCCCCCTATCTCTATTGTTTTATGGTTTTACAACTATACCCGTCACGAGGGGATGGCGTGCCCCCGTCTGCCATCCCACGGGTCTCCGGAGGGTCGGACTACTGTCCGACTCGGCCTCCACCTACTCGTTTAGCGTTTAAAATTGGCCCAGTCGCCCCGCTAGTCGGTGCGACTGTCTATGGCCCTCCTATTTATTATATGTGTACAAATATGTATACAACGGGGCTACTGGGATGGGAGAGCTAAGTTAAAGATAGAGAAGCCTCCCCTCCCAGTAGTGTCAGGGTACGTACCCCTGCCCATCCCGTTATTCGGTCTGGGCGTTCCCTCTTCCTACTTGTTCCCTATCTCTAAGCATTCATTCATTCATTACATTCATTCATACTTGCATTCATCCGCATTCATTCATACAGGATAAACCGATTATCCGCCATCTACCCTCCCTTTCCCTTTCGGATTTTTCCTTTCGTTTCATCACCTTCTCACAGAAGACAAGAAAGGCGTCCTTTCCCTGCATAGGATAATTTTATTTCAGGAGAGATCCTGTCCTATTGCTCGCACTAACACTTCTCTCTCGTTGTCCCACGCAGGGCAGTATCGGAGCGCGTGTGTGATGCCGAGTCACACGCTGCATCGCAGTGCTAGCACTTGTTAGTGACCTCCTTCCCGATACGACACAGAAACCGATCGAAACATCCATGGCCCGTTATCGCCTGGGTCGCTCGATAGGAAAGCCCCACTCCTGCATCCAGCCATGCTTGGAGTCGGGAAGCCAACACCCCGAACATCTCACCACCTTCATGCTCCGCACTTTGGAGCCATATCCGCCATTCCTGGACCATGTTTCTTTGCGCAGTTTCTTGAATCTTTGAGAGAGTTCTCGGATGAACGGGGATTCCCCCCGCCTACTTTACTTCTGCTACGCGCTCATGCACTTCCTGGTATTTCACGGCTGACAGCTCAAACGGTGGTATGCCTGCCAGCGTTGTTACTGTTGCAAATGAGGCAGTTTTATATGCCCTGATGACTCGTCCTGCCATCCTTCTCTGGCATGCCCTAAGGATGGATAGGGTTTTCTTGTTCTTTTTGATGTCAAACGCCCAAACCGATGCACCATATAGTGCGATCGATGCCACCACGTTTGAATACAGCTTCCTAACCTTGTTGTTAGGGCCACCTATGTTTGGCAGTAACCTGCTGAGGGCAAGCGCGGCTCCCTCTAGTCTAGGGGCTAGTTCCATAAAATGGAACAAAGCTCCACCTGCTATTTAGAACTAGTCCCAGGTATTTGATCCAATTCGAATATCTATTCCCGCTATTTTAACTGATGCATCGGCGGCTCTACCCCTCATGTAAAAGCCCGCCGCCTCGGATTTCTGTGGGGCTACCGTTAGTCCGCGCTCTTCTATCCTTTGGATCACCGTGTTCACCGCCTCACGCACGCATAAGGTTGCCTCCTCCCAGTTTCTGCCGTGTGACAGCACGATCGTATCGTCAGCGTAACATATTACTCTACATTCCGCGGGTAGATCTTCTTCTGCCATGATACCATTAAACCCTAGATTTCAAAGTAATGGACCCAGGATTGAGCCTTGTGGGACCCCTCTCTGAACATCCCTGTAGCCATTGTTTCCATCCTTGTTGGGAAACGATAATCGCCTATCATTTAGGTAATCCCTAATTACGTGACGCAGGTATAATGGTACCCTGTGCTCAGTGAGTGCTTTACCTATTATCTCCCATGGGATACTATTGAATGCATTGCTGATATCTAGCGATATCCCCACCACTACGTGTCCTTGGTCGAATGCGGACTCCATAAAGCCTCTGACAGTGAGTATCGCGTCCACCGTGGATCTTCTTCGCCGAAAGCCAAATTAAGATGAGCTTAAATCTGGACCTCTTCTTTTGAGATGGTTAACAATCCTCTCAGCAATTATCCTCTCCAACAATTTGGCTTCATCGTCTAGTAGGCAAATAGGCCGGTATCCTGCTGGTTGGTCATCTGGTTTTCCGTGTTTCCTTAGGAGGACCAATTTAGCTGTTTTCCATAAGGAAAACTACCTTTCTTCAGGCATTCCGAATAAGTGTCTTTTATTTCTTCCTCAATTTCCGGAATTGCTATTGCCCAGATTTTAGAAGGAATTCCGCTGGGACCAGGCGCCGCGTTCTTGCTGGTCACTTTTGACTGCCATCTTTAGTTCTATAGTGGAGACTCTAAAGCTATCCTGCCATTATTTGTAGCCTTCTTCAAGGAGTGGTGGCTCCGTCCATTCATCAGCTTCCCCCATGGGAGGGGGAAAGAGTCCACCCAACACTTTGTCCAGAACCGGCTTCTCCAACGATTCTGTGAATGGTGGTGTCCATCTGCGCAGTTTGCCCATTATTGTTTGGTAAGGACGATCCCATGGGTTCTCATTCAGGGTTCCCACGAATTCGCCCCAAGCCACGGCTTTGGCTTTCCTCAGAGCCCTACTGAGGTTTCTCCTAGCTTCCTTATATTCACCGATCATCCTATGATCCGCTTCAGTAGGATCTTCCGGATTCTCGTGTCTGCGAGCCCTTTTGAGTTTCCTCCTGGCTTTTGTGGAAGCTTCTCTCAATAGCGCGAGCTCCTCAGTCCACCATGGCTCTTCGCGATCTCGGAGTCGATCTAGGCATCGCGGTGTCAAATGCTTCTGTGATGATTCTTTGCAATTTGATCGCCTTCGATTCCGGGTCCTGTGGTTGGGCAGTCTCTCCCTTGCTCCAATAGCCTGTCACTATTGCGGCTCTAAATAGATCCTCATCCAGTTTCTTCAGAGACCACCTTTTAGGCCTAGGCATCGATTCTTTCTTTGTTTGCGAACTCGTCTTACCGAGAGTCATCTCAATATATCTATGGTCCGAAGCACTTTCCATCCTGGAAACCTCCCAGTTTAATACTCGAGCCGCAGCTAACTGATTTGCGAATATGAGATCTACGATTGATTCACCAGTGCCGCGGACGCATGTACTTTGGCCTCCGGAGTTGAGACATATCAGTCCCATGTCGCTGACCCAATTCGTGAGGAATATTCCTCGTGGGTTTGTTACTGGGGATTCCCACATCTCCGCCTTGGCGTTGAAATCTCCCCCTATAACTATGGATTTATCATGATGGAATAATACACATCTTTCAATCTCCTCCATAGCTTTTTCTACTGCTGTGGCCTCGATGTTAGGGGATAAATAAACACCGACTATGATCGCGTCGCCCCACTTAACTGCCACGTAGTGTTGTCCTCTTTCAATCGGTACACACGACATAGAATTCTCCGATCTTCTCCACGTAATTACGATTGTTTTCTCTTCGTTGGCATACTACTGAGGGTGGTCCCTCGGAATCACATATGGTTCCGGGATTATTGCAATCGCAAAGTCCCCTTCTGCCATATGTTGAAGCATGAGGTTGTAACGATGCACCCGCAAAAGCATCGTTCCCGATCGATCTTCCGTCGGATGCCGC